GCTTCACTGAGTTACACAAGCCCCTTCGCCACGACAAGGCAGTGATCCATGAAGGGGAAGAATCAGATTAATAAACATTAATCTAGTCATGGCACAATATTGTATTACAATGATCAATTCATGGATTGGTTTCAGTTACCCACTTTAGACTAGTATTTCCAATTTCATTTTGGGTCTTGAAGCCCAAATGGCTGCTTGTTGGCTCAGATGCTTCTTCTCCATCCCTAGCAAATTTCATCTCTGTTCCATATCTGTTCTAAATCAAAGTGCAATGCCACTCATGGACCAGTGGCATTTTAACTACTTGAGTTTCTTTTGTTTTAAAATAACAAATGCACAAAAAATACAGTGTAAGCCAAATACATGCTTAGCATAGTTTTACAAATAAAGGAAAACCTACAATTGGGGGGGGGGGGAAATCCCAGAAAACTCCAGCCTTGTCACATATGTGCCTTGGCCTCACCCATTTTGCATCATAGCTCTGCCTACTGCTGCCCTCAAAAACCCCATTAAGTATTCCCCCAGCTGCTGGATACAGGATATAAGATATTGGAATGGAATGGGTTTGCCAGCTCATGTGGCAAACTCTGTCTTGGATTAAGCACATTAGCAGTATAGTACTATACCAGGTTTAAAATTAATTTTGAAAAGGATTGAGAAATTGATAGGGCAAGAGGAAGAACACAAGAATCCTCCTCTCATTCCTGGTTAAGAGACCAGGAATATGACATTTGCTGACACTAAAAAAAATCAGTGTAAAAACAGACACAGACCTAAGTTGCTCAATTTTCAAATGCGTAACAGGGCTTTTCCCAAGAACCTGATCCAACTCCTTGTAAAGCTTTTGCTGAACTTCTTTAGAGGTAGTTAATAAATAGACTGCCCAGGTACACACTAAAGGAAGAAAAAGAAAAGAAGTATCAGAGGATGAAGGTGTCCATTTGGTCAATACTTGCATATAATTTATAGTTCACATTCTGGAATTAGGAAAAAGCAACCCCCACTGAGTAACTCAATAGGAAACCCAGGTCAGATGAAGCAGTCCATAGGAAGAAGTAGATATTCAGAAGCCTGTGTGGAAATGAAAATGCATGGGTGACAAAACTATTTAAAAGCTAAGCAGACTTGAAGTAATGCTACAATTTAACAGTCAGAGACCCTTTTGTGAAGTGCACAATCTGCATCATAGTTATTATTTCAGCCATCATTATCTTTGCCCTCTAAAATAAGATTGTACAATTATCCCCACATTATGAGGCTTTAAAGACAGTGGCTTGACTAAAGCTAGCCAGTGAGTTTAGAGCCAAGATCTCTAAATCATAATTTCAGATATACCTAAGCATGCAAACATCTGTTCATCCATCCTCCGTCCTTTCATCTCCCACTTCATTCATTCATTCATTCATTCATTCATTCATTCATTCATTCATTCATTCATTCATTCATTCATTCATTCATTCATTCATTCATTCATTCATTCATTCATTCATTCATTCATTCATTCATTCATTCATTCATTCATTCATTCATTCATTCATTCATTCATTCATTCATTCATTCATTCATTCATTCATTCATTCATTCATTCATTCCAAACTCTCCCATCTACACAAACCTCACATGCTGGCACAACCTCCTTTGGCACTACTTAATAAGCTCCCTGCTTAACTTAATATTCCCTAATTAAAGGCAAAAGTTACACTGGAAGTTTGCATGCTGCTTTAAAGGTTTTAGTTTTAAAGCCATGCTTATCTATTTCCAATCCAGCTTCCCCCACTGTATATTCTGTATGTGTCCTGTTAAATCCATGGTCTGGGTCTTGTCCGCTAGACAGTTCCACCTGGCAGGACCCAGGAAGACCGTCTTTTCTGCCATGGCACCTGCCCTCTAGAATATCATCCCCCGAGATTAGATTTGCCCTGACCCTGCTGGCCTTTCGCAAGGCATTAAAAACTTGGCTTCGCCATCTAGCCTGGGGCTCTGGCAGTGTGGGTGAGCCCGTTTCACGGTTAATTTGAATGTGAGACATTCCGAATGTTATTGGCAGCTATTTTATGCTATTGATGTTGTTTCTTAAATTTTAGTTTTATCCTGGTTTTATTTTGTTTTTAATTCTTAGCTGCCCAGAGTCATGTATATGAGATAGGCACCCATATACATTTATTAAACAAACAAACAATATATCTCGCTTTCACTCCTTTGCTGATCTGGCGCTGCTTTGTTTTACCATGTTCTGTCTGGACTGTGACTTCCTGTCCTGTGTATAGGTTTCACATGAGGACAATGGGATGTTCTGGAATTCCCATTTTCCTAAGCACATTCCACAGCTTGACATGATTGATACAAACGAAGGACCTTCTATAATCAATGAAGCACATATTAACCACTTTTTGGAATTCTTTGGCTTTTTTAATTATCCAGTGTGCATCAGCAATACACTAATGTATCTTGTTCCTCAGCCTTTTCAAAAACCACTTTGAATATCTGGCATCTCCCTTTTCATGTAGGGCTCTAATCTGCTAGCATGCAAAATTAAGGATTCTGTACAATAGTTTGCATAGTCCGTTAAATCTCCTTTCCTTGATATTGGTACACAGACTGATTTCTTCCAATCTGTTGCTCACCGTGACATTCTTCAGGTTTGCTGGCACACTTTAGTTAGATACTTTACTGATTTTTCTTCTTTTGTTTACCATATTTCTGTAGATGTTCCATCAACTCCTGTAGCCTTCCAGCTCGGTAGTGACTGAGTGCTGATCTAGCGTCATCATCTAGTACTAGGGAACATCTTCTAAGGTATCTTACATACTAACATTTCTACTATACAGGATTTCTTCCATCTTCCTTTGGAAGTATTTTCCAAAGTATCAATCTCTTCAAAGGAAAAAGTGTGGAGTTGTCTGAATATGATGGTGTATCGCAATCAGACAGAAAGGTAATTGCCTTAAAATATGAGGGAAAACGTGTAATGCTATTTCCAGATCTGCCTCCAATATTGGTTTAAAAAAAAACAAAACCCAAAGAATTCAGACAAGCACATCTCATGGCCAACCAAAAGGGGATAAAGACCATTTTTCCTGTATCCTGAAATTTTTGGTTTATCCTGGGATACTAGGATTTTGCTTCTCCCAAATCCCAACTTGCCCGGACTTTTGTTACCATTTCCTTTGCTCTACATGATGAGAAATTGGAATAAAAAACTGTCAAAATATTTATCATTTACTTTGCTATTTCAGGCATAAGCTCTAGCTCCCTCCACCTGCCCCATTTTAACTTCTCATGTCCAAGAAAGAAAATGGAATGAATGTTATAAAGGCTCTCAAGCCTCTCAAAAGCAGCACACACATAAACTACCGTAAACCAAATTATCCAGAGTATTATGGAACAGCAAGCATTGTGACAACATTTTCATAGGACTCCCCCCTCCCCCAGTGATTTACACTATGTCTTAAATGCTGTTTGATATACTTACATTTTGCGGTGATTATGGATCCTGCCAGAGAGAAGATCATAGTGTCCTCCAGAATCTGGAAAATGAAGAGATTTTCAGAGATGTTCATTGAAGGAGAAAAAAAAAAGATATAGTGAGAGTTAGTGCTAAGTTTAATATTGAAAATTTAATTAAACATTTTATATATGTCAAAGAAGAAATATCTGAAATGAATTCCAAATTAATTGTAGCTACAGAAGAAATAGCTCCAAAAAGAAAGAAAACGATTAACTGTCAACAGCACATCTTCTCCTTGCCCAGAAAAAGTATGCACAGGAAAGGCTGTCAGCACCATGTACATTCAGAAGCCTCCTGTTATGAAGTCAATTGGCCTTCACAGAACTCCAGACTATCGGTTGCATGTCATGGAGATTGCAGATGTTTGAATCAAACATCTCTGTTTTAAGCAACATCCTCCAGAGAAAGGGCGCTTACCTTAGCACTTAGCCAAAGGATCAATCAATCAAATCTTTATTACGGTCACAGACCTGCATACTTAGCAAAAGGAATTCCCCCCCCCCTCTTCTGCAGAAAAAAAGGCTTTTGTCTTTTAAAAATTCCAAGAGAGAAGCAGTGTACCAGGGCTAGAAAAGGAGCTGAGGAACATTGCTCCTGAGCTTCTGATTAAAGGCAAGAATCTAATCAAATCTGGAAGAACTAAGGAAGAAAGCAGGAAACTTTGCTGTAGTGATCAGCTTGCCTCTAAGAAATAGCAGCTTAGGTAACTGGAAATGTTGCATAAGATTACTTTTATTTTGGAATGTGTGGAGCTTTATGGTGCCTGATACATACTCTTTCTGATTTATATTTTCCGTTTTCAAATGTTCAGTGATTATATTTCCTAAGTAATAGACCAATGCCGTCTTATAATCTACTCAGTCTTCACTTTTTGTGTGTAGTTTTGACTTTGGAGATTCTCTTGAGATGCTGTGAGTGGCTTTTACAGCTCTCTCTTTTTACAGCTTCCTTTGCTGTATTGCATGTGAACACTTTAAATGATTTTTTTTTACCTTCTCCCTCTTTCTCTTGTTTTTTAAAATAAAGTTAATTCTGTTATACCTTGTGAGACTGAATTATCTCCCAAAGGAGGGGTGCTGATTTCCTTAGTCACATGCCTCCATACCCCAGGGCCAGGAAATAGCTATAAAAATGAAAGAAGATCTATAGCTCCTTTTACTTGCTAATAAGGTGCACAGATTATGGGATCCCCATCTATCTGACACACTAAGTTGACGAGGGATCCCAGGGAAAGGCACCCCTGGAAAACAGGTAGTGGCACCTAAGCCACCCTACCAAAGCAGGAAGGCCGATCCAAGGTGTCTTGATGTTTAGGACTTCTCAGAGAGAAGGCTTGAGACCTCTAGGTTTTCCCTCAATCCTAATGTTACACTTCCATATACAGTCTTCACATTTATGTACATTTCTCAGACATAAATGCCATCACATTTAATGGGGCTTTCTTCGAAAGGCTCTTGCCTTGGTTACTGAAGATCAGGGAATGTGTGTGAATGGCAATAGCTCCACCCTGCCCCACCAAGAGGTGTGGAATTCTCTCATTTTCACTGAGGCAATGCAGCCTCTATAAAAGCAACAGATATCTGCTACACTTGGAGAAGACCACACATGCTGTTGCCATGGTATACATGCCAGATGAACACCTCAGATATGCCAGTTATAGTATCACCTATCCAACTATTCTGCCAATGAAGATTCCCTCATGGAATGGCTAAATAAAGAAAAGTACAAGGGATTTTATTGGTCAATGACTGAAATAAAGATGATGATGATGATGATGATGATGATGATGATGATGATGATGTTGATGATGATGATGATGATGATGA